GTTCTTTGGGGTAAAGATCGTGAATATGGGAGATCCATAGGTTAGTTCTTTGCTGTGTCGCGGACTTGAGCGGTCTATAGTAAATGGATGCTAGGACGATGTGGTGCTGCTGGACCTGGATCCGTACCGCCACGATTTCCTGCCCATCGTTGGAGTACGGGGTGAGGTCGACTTGGTGCTGAGGCCAGTCATCCCTCACGTAGACAAGGGCCTTCCCTGGAGGAGAAGTCAGTTCTACAGGGCGTTTGGTGGTTATAGAGGGACTGGAGTATACCAGGTATCCATAAAGATGGACGGCTGTGGTGTTCGTTTCCTGAAGTAACAGTACGTCAGGGCGTTCGTCAGGCTTATCCAGAAGGCGTAGTCGGAGCTCCGCTGCCCGTTTGCGGAGCCCCTGACAGTTCCACTGGAGAACTCTGATCATTTTTCGTTGAGGATTTGGGCTGCTAGCGCCTTTTGCCGGTTAGCAGTTTCCCTGTATTGCTTGATTTCCTCTTGCTGAGACTGGACTGTGGCTTTAAGCCTGTCGAGTTCAGCTTTGAGGTAGCTGCACATGTTGCGAAGCTCTTGTGTTTCTGACCCTCCAGTGGGGGCCGGTGGGGGTGCTTGGATGTTCTGCTTCACCTTGTCAGCCCATAAAGTGCCGCTCTGTGTTTTCGTAGTATTTTTTACTCTTTCTGTATTCTCCGACGGCTGTTGGAGTCGGTGTTGTTTTTTCAAATTCTGGATGTCCTCCCGCATCCGTTTGTTCGTTGCCGACCACGTTGGGCATTTGCGATCGGTACCCAGGTGGCCTTTCTTCTTGCACCCCTGGCAGTAGGGAGTAGAGTCCGGACATCCTGGTCCCTTGGCGGGGTCAGTGTCGGCTAGGTGAGAAGTTCCACAGGTCGGGCACACCGCCTGATTCGGGAAGATGTCAGGTTTGTGGCCCAGCCTGTGGCAGTTACGGCACGTAACAAACAGCCTTTGGCTTGTGTGGAAATACCCTCATGTAGCGCTTGCCGTAGAAGATCGACCTCGGTAGTCTCTCTCCGTCGAATGTGATGACAGCCGTATTCGACTTGCCTAGCCGACGGGCGGCCACGATGTCGACCTTCTCCGATTCGAGTTCGTGGTTGAGGACTTCGTCGCGCGGGTCCTGCTCTTTAGGGTAGATATCATAGATGATACCTTTGGTGTATGACGTGCCAAACGTGCGGAAGACTTGTACAGGAAGTGCTTCGCGCCCCTGCACTTTGATTTCTGTAATCTCACTCAGCATTTTTGCCAGCTCCTCCGTGTCCGTGCGGACCGAAATGGTGTTGGCTTGCTCAATGAGGTGCATCGAGAACGAGGCTGTAGTGCGCAGCATGGTGCATTGCGTCTTGAGTGGTTGAAGGTAAGGCTTTATCGAGACTTGAGAGTTCGTAGGGCGAACCTTGTACTCGAACAGGCGCTGTCGGGGCCGTACCGCTCCGTGGGCTTGGAGTGAGGGGTCTACTCGTACCCGCTTTCTTCTCTTGTAGGTGACTGGTGTCCATTTTTCGTCGTCTGAGGGCAATGGACCTTGCCACTCGGTTGCGGCCGCACCATCTTGCGCACAGCCAGCTGTAAATATCATCAGCGCAGTTGTATCGGCGTCTTGGCGCCGACTTGCCGCTGTGATCGGCGTTTCTTGGGCTGGCGTTGTTGCTTCGGGCATAGCAACGCTTGCTGAGTTCGGCGATGAATTCGCCGTCGGCGGGTTTGTCTTGTCCGATTTTTTCTTCTTGCCCTTGCTGGGTTTGTTTGGACTGAACTCGTCGAGAAAGTTCTTAAAGATGTCTATGAGGCGTTCTCTGGGAATCGCCGCAAATAGAGCCTTCAGCGCGATTTCTGCTGAATCTACGTTATTGGTAGTTGTGGAAGATTCACCAAGAAAAGGTTTCTCCTCCGCAGTGCGTTTTGCGGGTGCGATCAGCGAAGTGCTAAGCTGGTCCGTCGTGGCGGCGGCAGGACTTGCTTGGCTTGCTGGGCGCGTGTCCATCTCCAAGGTTCCCGTCCACGGATAAGGCCGCGGCGGGTGAGAAGCTGGAAGTCGGTGGGGTGTTCGAGGACATCGGTATTAGGTACTAGGCCTAATAGCGGGAGCTCAAGAAAACGCGTCCGAACTCGTCGGTAGCTTCTTCTTTCTCCAGTTGAGGGGGTGAACGCTGCTCGTTTTTCTTTAAATTTTTTTTTCTGGGACTACTATTGCGTGGGTGGGGTGAAAAACGAACGCGTGTTTCATAGGTCATTAATGTCAGGGATCCGTTCTAAGCGGTATTTGCGCAAAGTACAAAAATTGTTACGTCGCCCCTTTAAGGTTGCTTAACTTGTCTTCTTGTGTAAAATAACTGTTTTAGTCACCCCCCCCCCCTTTTTTATGTTATTGTATATTTATTAGGGATGTCGCGAACCACCCTAGGTTCGATTTCGAAAGGTTTCGATATTTGCGAAGCGAACTGAGGTTCGATTTCGAAAAATTTCGATATTTTCGTACCGACCGAGGTTCGATTTCGAAAAATTCGCAACTTTTGTCCACAGCGGAGTTTCGAATTCGAAAATTTCGAAGCTTTCACGGTTTCTAAAATTTCGAATTCGAATATTTCGAATATTTTTTTACTTCAGGTTCGATAAATTCGAAGATTTCGAAATTCTTTGTAAAACAAATTCGAAAACTTCGAACGCTTCGAATTTTTATAGACATGAAGTTCGAACAATTCGAAGATTTCGAATTTCTTTTGGCAAAAAGTTCGAAAAGTTCGAAAGTTTCGATTCTCTTTTAACGCTAAATTAAAAAAAAATAAAAAAAAAAAAGCTTTGAAGATTTTGAATTTTTTTTAATCCAAGTTTTCAAAGTTTGAAGTCCGATTTTCAAGTTTTTCTACAGTTTCAGTTTCAAATAACATTTTCACGACTCACTTGTTTTCACAAAATCAAGTTTAGAAAAGTTAGGGCGTGATATCTAGATTCTGCGAAGTTGGTAAGGCAATTAAATGAGACGACGAGTGTCCCGGACGTGCTAGAATATTTGCCAGTGCAGAATTGTGACCGCCAGCCCCCGGGGGGGGGGGGGGGGGGGGGGGGGGGGGGGGGGTCTTTATCACGCAGTAGTGATTGCACGAACACACTGTTTTACGAGACTCATCCAGTTCGAAACGGCCAGGGACGAGCAGGAGGTTGAGGCTCAGAGAAACCTTGAAGCGACCCCTTGCACGCTGGTAATAATCCGATCCAGTGAAGTTTATAATTGTACTGGAGGTTTATTTTCTGGGACGGAGGAATCGCCTCGCAAAAAGCACAAAAGCCGACACAACTCGAGGTCGAGGAGCGTTCTACCATACAAGTGGCGTCGGAAGAGGAAAAACGGGGGGGAAAGAGGGTAGCGGGGGGGGGGGGGGGGGGGGGCATCAGCCTCCTTCTCCCCCTTGCAGGTATTTCGGACTGTTAAAGAAAACAATACGGGGAAAGAGGGCGTGGTCGAGCTTATTTTAATCTGAAATTATTTATGCATATGTATAGCTACTGTCGCTCTTCACTTCATAAAAGGTTGCGTAGATGGTCATTGTTAGAAACTCGTTGTCAGAAGGCACTGCTCGTCACATGCTTAGTGGTTCGGAAGTTCAAAGCTGTCTTTTCGACCTAAACACCTGTGCCAATAGTAACAAAAAAAAAAAAAAAAAAAGAATAAATGGGGGAATAAAAAGCAGGAGAAAAAAAAAAAACTATCAAGAATTCGTCGGAAGTGTTCTATTCTTGCATATTCAGAGGTTCAGAACTTCGAAACAAGTTTCTTTTACCAAAATGTGTACGGGCTAAAAGAAACACGTCCCAGGAACGTGAAGCGAAAAAAAAAAAAAGTTTTCTTTTAATGACGTGCTGAACTTGAACACTACTAGAAATCTTCTGCATTAGTTAATTTATTCCTTAACGTGAAAAAACAATAAATATATTATTTTGTATTCTGCAGATGGCAATGATATGTACTGTCTGTGGTGTTAATTTAAATGCGATACCTCAAACAACTTAGACGAAAATAAATATCAAGTTTAGGTCATAATTGCATGCAGATACACGTTTGGACATTTCTTCGAAACTCACGTTGAATAACAATAATCACATCTTAAGACGGCACTTACCTACGCTATACATAGATCATTCTTAAAAAAAAGTATAACATATCTACCATAAATAGCTCCGGCTGCAGCGTGCTTCAAATCTGGCACAAACGATAATCGTAAAAAACCCGTCGTCCGTCCTCGCCCCTTCGGGCATTTATTTCTTTAAACCTAAGCATGCCAGAACATTGAAATAAATGACATTGTCTTTCGTAAGGAACGCAGCACCGCGTGTAAAAGTTCGAGAAAAAAAATTACGAATGTACCCCACTACTTGAAATCGAATGAAACCGTCCGCCGGTCTTTCGAAGTTCGACAAACGTCGAACTTTTACCCTATAAGTTCGAAGTTCGTCGCACTTCTGACTTTTCAGAATTCGAAAGTTCGAAACTTTTCGAATTTTCTTGATAAATAAGTTCGAAAGTTCGAAATTTATCGAATTTTTTGGTCAGTCAAGTTCGAAAGTTCGACAAGCATCGAACCTTGCAGCGCAATAAGTTCGAAAGTTCGAAAAAGATCGAATTTTTTAGCGTAATAAGTTCGACGGTTCGAAAAGCGTCGAACTTCTTAGCTTAACAAGTTCGAAAATTCGACCTCCGTCGAATTTTACGATATAGACAATTCGAAAAATCGAAATCTTTCGAACCTTTCGAACCGCTTGATTCGATCATCGAAACTTCGATTCGAAAAAAGTTCGCGGCATCCCTAATATTTATGTTTTGGGGCTATGATAGGTCAGTTCGGTGGGCACACCAGATGTATGGGCCTTCGCTTTTTCTCCGAACTAGCATGCCTGTCGCATTCCCTTTTTTTTTTAAATTTCAAGTGCAATAGAGTATGGGGTAAAAGGAAACAGGAAAAGCACAAGGCCATGAGCTGGCTTTATTTCTCTTTGACCTCGAGGACGTCTTGGAGTGACAAAGCGAGGGTATCCTCCACCTCTTGCTCCGTCAACAGGCGAACTCTCGACGCCTGCCGCAGATCATCGCCGGGAAGGTGAGGTACCGTGCCGTCGGGAAGCTGCGCTCGATATGGTGGCTGCCCCTCGAACATCCGCGCAGTCGCCGCGGCAGCCCGCTCTCCTTTCTGTGTCTGCAGCAGCTCCAGGCGCTCCCTGCAGGACCGGGCGCTGTCCAAGCGTTTTTGCAGCGCTTCCAGACGCTTCGTGGCCGCTGCAACGTTGTGCCGCACGTTGCTGCCTTCGACTTGTTTAAGCCTCCCGGAGCTGGCCTTAGGTTCCAGGAGCTTTGACTGCAACACCCGGAGTGGTCTTGTGTTGGCGTTGTGCGGCTGCAGTTGAGTCTGCAACTGCTCCGATCGTTCGCGCACTGGAAGGGCGATCTCCTGCTCAACTGTGCCCCGGATGCGATGGGCCATTTCCCCCGTGGTGTCCATCTGGCCGGCGGCGACCTGCTGCTTCTGCAGTGCCGCCTCCAGTCGCGACTTGTCGGCCAGTGCGTTCTCCATGCGTCGTTGCAGCGCACTCATCATGAGGCCGCTCTGGCGCTCTTGCCGCGCCGCCTGTGCCACCCGCTGCTGCTCGCGTAGCCGCAGGGTGCTCACCTCGCGGTCGTGCTCCCTTTGGGCCCGGCGATGCTGCTCCGACTCTTCTTTGAGCTGGCGCATCAGCCGCACGCGCGTTTTTTTCATCTCCAAGATTTCTTCTCTGAGTTTCTTAACATCTGGTTCTTCCTCTTTCAGCCCAAGCACCGTGGCCTGCTCCTGTACTTTCTTTCGCAGCTTCGCAACGCGCTCCTCCAGCTCCTTGATGCGCTTGCGCCGTTGCTCCAAGGTACGAGTCTCCCGAGTCTTCTTGTTGGCATTGTTACCATTCGCCACCAAGGCGGAGAGGTCGTCCTTCTCCTTCATGAGCAGCTCCACCTCCCTCTCCAGCTCCTGGATCTTTCCTTGGTACAGGGAGTGCACCACCTCGAGGTGCTCCTCGACGGCGTGCAAACGTTGAGCCAGGTCCTCCTTAGCCTGCAGCATCGGGAAGGTCGGTTGTGCGAGTCCCTGAACGCTCCGACTAATTGCGGAGTGGAACGCACTAGCACGCGCAACGCCCGCACGTTTTCGGCTGCTGATAATGATTGCGTTAGCACAGAAAGAAAGCTTGCAACAGTGAAAGTAAGAACCGTTTAAGGGGTCATGAAACAAATTTTGGGCTGGGATAAATGATTTTAAATTGGGACTTTACTAATCACAGATCGTTTAGTTGGCCAAAAGAGGGTAGAAAGTCAAAAGCCAGCTTTTCGCTACGAACATTTGAAAATATAGCGGACTATTCTGTACCTTCTTTTCTTCGAAAGCTGTCCGCCTTTTCAATATAACACATCCGCGGTTCCCAAAGCGCGAAAGCGGTGCCGAACTGACGTCAGCCGAGCCCAGCTCACGCATTGGACACGAGAACTGCGTCACTTGGACGTACGCGCTCGTCAACAATAAATCCGTCCACGAATATTCGGATTCGCGTTCGTGGCCAATGAGTGCCCTGACGGAACTTATCGTCACTGGGGAATGACAGGATTAATGGTGTGCATAAAAAGCACGGCGGAAGCTATACTTCGTTTCAGCTTCGGTCCAGACGCAGCCGATGCTACAAGCGCGAGTATGTGGTCCAGAACAGTGCACTGCACGAGCGCGCGTGCTTGGCAGGGATGCTGAAAGCCCGGAGCTCGCGCTTGTAGCTTTGGCTGTGTCTGGACCGAAGCTGAAACGAAGTATAGGAGACATCGCACCGGTACCAAAGAATGTCACGACGACGTGATTTCACAATTTGAATTTGAGTTGCGGATTAAAGCTAAGGAGGAAGAAGTAGGAAAATAGTTTCATGACCCCTTTAAGCGCCCCTACTCAACCAATACCACCTAGAAGACAAGGCCTGCGCATTGCGTTTCGTTAGTAGATCTCGATCCGCCCCAAGCGGCAAACACCCCGAAGCTTGACGAGAGTAGGGGCCCCGGGACAACGGCTGTGTTCCCAATCTTACCCAAATAGATCGGAGTTACTCTGCCGGGTCGTGTCACGTGACAACACAGATTGAAAAACGCTGGACGCGATTAGGTTTTAGAACGCCCAGGTACAAACCTCTTACCCTGGAGTATAAGATCCGAGTAAATTTTGAAACGCGGTCAACTACTTCGCATCACTGGCGGCCACAGCTGTGTGCGCGACTACTGAGGGCGAGCTCATAGCGAGCTTCCAGTTCTTTTGCAACGTGCATGCGAAAACTCCCTCGGCCAGGAGCGCGAGCTAGCCCGCGCTCCTGCAGCTTTGAGAGGTGCATTTCTAGCGCGCGCGCTCATTCTGCGGAAGAACGTTTCAGAGCAGCGACCTCGAGCTCTCGTGAGTGCTAACGCCATCATTATCAGCAGCCGAAGACGTGCTGGCTGTGCGCGTGCCCGTGCGTTCCACTCCGCCATTCGTACCAGCATTCAGCTACCGGTGTAATCGACCCGAAAGATGCTGCAGGCCGAGGAGGACCTGGCTGCCCGCATGTTGGACAAGTCGGTGCAACTCGACGTGGTGCGCTATAGGTACTTTACAAAAATTAAGGAGCTGGAAAGTCAGGTTGCGCTGCTGAAGAAGGATAGGGACGACCTCTCGGCATTGGTGGTGTCTGGCAATGATGTAAACAAGAAGTCCCAGCAGAGTCGCATCGCGGAACAAGAGCGGAAGCGCATCAAGGAGCTGGAGGAGCGCGCTGAGGAGATGCGAAAGAAAGTCCAGGAGCAGGCCAAGGTGATCGGGCTGAAGGAGGAAGCGGCACGCACTTCGAAAAAACTCATGGAAGAAATCCTCGAGATGAAGCAGACGTGCGTGCGGCTGATGCGCCAGCTCAATGAAGAGTCCGAGCAGCACCGCCGGGCCCAAAGGGAGCACGAACGTGAGGTGAGCAGCCTGCAGCTGCGCGAGCAGCAGCAGGTGGCGGAGGCGGCGCGGCAAGAGCGCCAGATCGGCCTTAAGATGAGCGCGCTGAAACGACGCTTGGAGGAGGCACTGGCGGACAAGTCGCGCCTGGAGGCGGCACTGCAGAAGCAGCAGGTCGCCACCGGCAAGAGGGACACCCCGGAGGAAGTGGCCCGTCGCTTAGGCCACAGTTGAGCAGGAGCTCGCCGTTACGGTGCGCGAACGATTGAAGCAGTCGAAGGCTGAACCGCAGGCGCGCAACACCCACGCCACACCACTCCTGGAGACACTCCTTCAGACGAGCATCTAGAGGAACTCTCATTAAAGAGATGAGTCGAAACTTATGAATACCTTTCTTGTTCATATACAAGTTAAAAATGAACTATATCTGCTAATGACAATTGCACGCTTGTTTTTCAAACCGATGGCTGCATTTTTCGTTCTAACAGCTCGATTCTGGCGGGCGTTACAAAATCAGCCACCGAAGAGCGCTGTGAGTCTCGCGATATCTGACCCACCTACGACTTGCCCGCGACGTCATCGGCCTCCCTACGGCCAAGCGTACCGTAGTTCAGCGGCGTGAACGTGCCACTACCAGAGTACGCGAAGGCTGTAACATATTGTCACGAATGACAAATGATGAGGCGGCAAATAACTGTAGAAACTGAACGTTCAATGAGGCGAACTTGCGCCCAAAACAAAATATAAAAAGGCTAGCGTCGCAGGCGTTGATGTAGGCGAAACAGCAGGGTCGAGCGCTGGGGCGAAACTAACTCCGCTCGCCATTTGGAGTCCATTATGTACGCGCGTTGGTTCCGGAACATTCGGCGTAAAACTTTCGGCGCGTAGAGAATTCGGAACTCCGTCAAACATGAATGCTCTCGAACTCACGAGAACGCAAATTTGAAAGAATAAAGAAAAGACCGTTCTACTGACTAAAATCGAACTATAGTCAAATACCGTGGAAGCCAATACTGGCAACTCCCGCGGAAAACGGGCGAAAAGTGATTGCAGCGCCCCTGGCGAGCTCGGAGTCTCCGCTAGCAGACAAATTCTTCAAAATGCATTGGTTTTGCCTATCTCCGTGCGAGGTGACCAACGAAAAGAAATTGTCACGGACATTCGCTGTAACAGTAAGAAAGCACAAAACAAACAGAGGGACAAAAACAGACATGTACAAGCTTTCATTTTTGTCCCTCTGTTTGTTTTGTGCTTTCTTACTGTTACATCTGTCCCAACACGCTCGTCAAAGTCGACATTCGCTGCTTTGAAAGTTAAAAAATGGGTGCCAGCTCATGAGTGAAGGACATTCTCTTCGCGTGGGAAAGATGTTACAGCTTCCTTGGTGCAATTTCGGAGTTCTCCCGAAGAAAACATTGTCACGACTTATGTAAGCCAAGCAAAACACGAATGTATGCCTGCGCGCTGTTTCGTGAAAAAGGGAAATGTACAAACATTTCAGAACATAGCTTCGTTTCAACTTTATTGTTCTTATCAGTCAATTCGTTTTGTCGTTGCAATTCCCATTTCTCATGAATGTCTTGCTTATAACCGTTTCGTCGAACAGGCGAGCTGGCTAATCCTGTTAAGAACGTCTCCGGATGAAGAAGCAGAAGTCAATTTCGAACCACGTACAGAGCGCGACACTGTTAGCGCGAACAAGCGATCGCCGGTATTTCCAGTTCTTCTCTTTGAAACCGAGTTATTTCATCCAAGTTGTTATTGTTACCGAAAGAGCCCAATTAGTTCTATAATGTAAGCGATAAAATTTCGTGCTCGCTAATACTATTTAGAAGTAAAATGCGAAAATGCGCCGATGTCGTGTTCGCGCTAACAGTGTCGCGATGTGTACGTTACGGCGATGTCAGTATGCTCCGAAATAAGTCGTTGTGCATATGCAAATCTGACGCGATTATAGATTAACAAAAGCGGAGTTACGAAAAAAGCAGACTTCTCGCGCTTGCAAAGAAAGAAGGGGAGAGCGTCGTAGCCCCGCGAAAAGAGGTGATTTCAGTCACGTTATTAACAGTGCACAAATTCCGATTGTTAGCGCGGGGACGACCAACATCTTCTGCTTCGCTGCTTCTGTACTTCTACGATAAAGGCCGACACCCGTTGAACCGTCTCCACTCTTTCCATTTTTGAGTCGTCTTTCTTTTATATTTTTGAGGCGACGCCACTCTGCCGCGTTATTTCTTCCTCCTGCTTATATGTTGCTGTGTATATTTTTGTTTTCTTTTTGCTTTTTTTTTTTTTTTTTTTTTTGCCCGACGTGTAAACCATCGCGTATCCTTGCTTTGTTTGGCTTAGTTTTTACTACCTTTCCTTCGCTTCGGCGCTTACTACCCCCGGTTCGTCTGCGCTAGGCCCGGGCATTTTGAGGGCCGTCTGCAACCTCGCTGTTGTTGTTGTTCTTTTCTTCCACTGTCGTCTGCGATAACCTCCTATTTTCGCCTTCGATTGAGTTTCTAATCCAAAATCGTCATATGTGCTTTTTGATATTTATCAAATATATTAAGAAGCGTATAGACGCTTTCAGCGAGTCAGTTACTCGAGCTGCCACCAGTCGGCGCGCCCTTCGCGCGCTTTCCGGGCCGCCATAGCCGACCTTCATTTTTGCGCCGTTGCTCCGCGTTGTGTGCTGCACAGGCCACTACCGGAGCTTCGTTTTCGTGTTCTTTCGCGTTTCGCGTTGAAATCTTGTATTTTCTTTAGGTCTTTTCGATATTTAGGACTTTCATTTAATCATTCGATATTTATATTTCGACATAGCTCTTGTATTTTCTTATTTATGGAATGGAATCGGACAGCGAATGGGTCGACGATACACGATTATGAGGCTTCAATGACCATGTAAGTTCATGCCATTCTTACGTTTTTGTCGCTAATAAAGGGCGGTAACACTATTGCGACATATGTAAATTGCCACTGACGCAGTAAGGCTATCACAGTCGTGCTTCTCGCTGCATGTGCGCGCTCGTTTCCGTAAAGCCGACCCGCATGTAAGCGATTTAGCGTGCGATGAGACGAGCAACGCAGAATTCTCACTGTCGCCCGTCGCATCGCTCGGTTTTTGGATTTCTAGAAAACGTCGCTCGCCGTCTTGGTCGCTCGCTCCGTCGCTTCCATGCGGTTTGCCTCGTCGTGCGACTGACTGAGCGATAGCGAAGCGGGTTGCCGTCGCTTATCTGGTCGCTCGCCAAATCGCTTACATGCGGTTTATACTCAATTAATTTCGATGCACACAGTATGTAACCATTGGCGCCTCGATATTAAGAATAAACCGCAAGCAAGCGATTCGGCGAGCAACGAGACAAGCGACGGTGACCCACTTCGCTGTTACTCGGGCAGTCGCGCAACGAGGCAAACCGCATGAAAGCGACGGGAGCAAGCGACCAAGACGGTGAGCTACGAAACCCAAAAAACCAAGCGATGTAACAGGCGACACTGAGAAATCTTCGTCGCTGACTGTCGTCGTTGTCGCCGTCGCTCGTCTCGTCGCAGGCTAAATCGCTCACATGCGGGTCGGCTTTACGGAAACGAGCGCGCACATGCAGCAAGCAGCACGACTGGATAGCCTTTCTGCGTCAGTTGAAATTTGCATATGTCGCGATAATGTTGACTGCCCTTTATTAGCGAGAAAAACGTTAGAATGCGATGAACTTGCATGGTTTCGGAAGCCATAATCTTGTATCGTCGATCCATTCGCTGTCCGATTCCATTTCATAAATAAGAAAATTCAAGAGCTATGTTGAAATATAGACATAAAATGATTAAATGAAAGCCCGAAATATCGAAAAGACCTAAAGAAAACACACGATTTCAACGGGGAACGTAAAAGAACGCGAAAACAAAGCTCTGGTAGTGGCCGGTGCAGCACACAACGCGGAGGAACGGCGAGAAACTGAAGGGCGGCTATGGCGGCAGGGTCACGTGACGTCAAGATGGCGGCGCCCATGAAATGTTGCCTGAAAGGGTCTATAAGCTCGTTATACATCTTTATTCGAATTTTATTTGTGTACTCCGGCCGGCATGTCTGCTACGGGTCATCGTTTGTTGATCAACCGGCCGCATTCGAGCATACACCAGAGCATACTTGGAGATGGCAGGCATGCTATGTGCTGCCTACCATTGCAAGAACAAGTTTGTGCGATGTGGTGGAAAATCTTTCTTCTGCTTCCTACTTCAACCTACGGACACCTACGTCAACAAGTACTTGAATGCACTTTTAAACTGCTTCGTCAAGCGAGCGAACGAACAACCCGCCAAAGTCGCTGGAAAAAGAAATTCGAAAGCGAAAAAAGGTTACTCACTGCTAGCACATATAGAAGATTGCTGCCTGCGACCAAAACATTTCTGCGACTCTTTTTTACCGGGCAGTGTGAGCTGCACTACGTTATTTATTTCAACAAAAGGTAAGGGCGCAAACGAGCTGGTGGTGGTTAAACATTTCGACAAAAACCCCGAGACTGGGACAGAAAGGGACGGACAAACACAAAGTCTCAAACACAGCTGAATTTTATTTGACAAGGAAGGGTGCTTATATAGGCGTCAAATCCTACACAAATCAAAAGAGACGAAGGAAAGAGAGGGAGAAACCTTCACAAGGTTTCTCCCTCTCTTTCCTTCGTCTCTTGATTTGTGTAGGATTTGACGCCTATATAAGCACCCTTCCTTGTCAAATAAAATTCAGCTGTGTTTGAGACTTTGTGTTTGTCCGTCCCTTTCTGTCCCAGTCTCGGGGTTTTTGTCGAAATTATTTATTTCCCCTGTTTTGTTTTTAGTTCGTACCTACGCCGCGAAAGCAAATAAAGAAATGTACAACAAGCAGCTAAAAAAAAAAAAAGGGACGCTTTCTTCGTTTTTCATTAGTTTCGTCTGTTGCTTCCGCTTTGTTTGTCGTAAACTCAACACCGGTGGCGACTAGAGTGGCGACTGTTGCGATCACCAGCTATTCATTTGCTGCTTTCCATTTTTCTTTCTTTTTTTCTATAAGCGCCGCAACGTCGTCGTCGTTGAAACAGTTTTTTTGCTAGCTTCTTTGTTTTATTCGCCGTTGTTCCCTTCTCTTTCCCGTTTCTTTTTATTTTCGTCGAGAATGGCGACACCATTTTTTCTGCAAAGTTCGGTAAGTGTTTGCACGGTCATTTTTATCCTTACTTTTTGTTTTGTTTTTAAGCTCCAGCAGCTCGTGC